CAGCTGTTTCCTAAATGTTGTTGTTTTTTTTTTCATTTGCTTGGCAGCTTGTTTCCGAGGACACGTGTCCTTCAGAGACCATATGACTAACAATGACTCAGCCTTGGCAATTTACACATTTCTGAATTAACAAGGCCGAAAACAAACTCTTCAGCTGCAAACCCTAATGCCATCAGGAAATATTGGCTTTTTTTTTTTCAGTGCATGAAAATCACAAATAACCAGCAAAGATCGTGCATAATCCATGTTAACTTTAATGTTTGACATTATTTTTTTATAAACTCTCAGCTTTATAAAGCTTTTGTTGAGTTAGTGTTATAGATGTTTGCTGAATTGTTTTATTCCAGCCTGCATAGTTCAGGTTAAGGTACAGCGGAGAAGGACAATAATTAATAATACTTTGGTTTTTTTTATAAAACTGTAGGAAATTTCTGTGCTGACAGCTCAGGATGTTTTTACGTTTTGCTGAATCTGTGCAGCCAGATTTAAAAAGGCTGCAGTTTGCATTTTGTGTTCTCCGTAAGCTTCTCATCACTTTTTAAACTTTGCTGAACTGTAAATAAAAGCACATACAGGAAAAACTTTATACATGACCTCGAAATTCAGATTTTCACTCACTTTAAGCACTCATATTTTGAAGTTATACTGATAACAGAAAATATATTGGAGTTCTGAAAACGTTCAGGTCACAACATTATTTAATTATTACTTTTTTTCCTTGGGTTAAAAAAGTCTTTATGTCTCTGTTGTGGAATATTTAGACCCAGGACCGCAGGGAGGAACGAGGAGCTCAAAAAAGAAATAAAACTTAATTTAACCTACAAGGAATGCGCAGTGTGAGTAACGGCCAAAAGACTAAAATAATCGGAGCTGATGAAAGAAATGGCTGCAGCTGTGAACGGTGAAACAGGGAGCAGGTGTAGATGGCAGGACTGAGGAGTAAAAGGAACAAACTGAACACCAGAAAACACAGAAACTAACCTTTAATAAAACTTTTTAAATAAAAAACTGAAAATACGGTTGATAAAGGAACTTAAAAATAAACATCTAAACCTTGTAAAAAAATTTAATTCAGATGCTGTTTTTAATCCTGAGCAAAACCATAAGTACAAATTTCCTGATGCTACAAGAGTCTGAACAAGTTGAAACTAAAGCGCGCAGGACGCACGTGGCTCTTATTCCCTATTACAGAAAAAAGTGAAGCCATCGTTTATTTCACGCCATCTGCAGAACGTCTGAAAGCGCGTCTGTGCAGAACATTTACAGTATAATTACACTACGAACAGGTGTTCTCCAGCAAACTGATACCTGCAGCTCATAACTGCAGAGTATCGAATCTCTGGGATTTTAAGAATTTCACGACATCTGGAGAGGCGGAAGATGTTTTTAAACAGAAAAACTCAAACTTGCGCCGCTGTGGAAGAAAATGATATGTCATTGGATGTGTAAATGGTTGGTTTGCTGCCCACAAAGTATGTAGAGGAGGTGGAGGAAACATGCAAACACCACTCATCATTTTGCTGAGGATGACTTTGCCAATAAATCCAGTCAAATTCAGTTACTGGAAAAATTAAAAAAAAAATTCTTCAAGGAATGCATTATGATTGGCTGCCATTCATCATCTGTGTTAAGCTTTGTGAGCAATCTTGTGTAGAGTTTATATTGTGAATGACTCTCAGCTCCTACCATGTCAAATTTTGACTCAGTACATGTAAAATTGACTGAGTTAGAGCCATTTCTGTGTCGTACGGGGTGGTTCAGCTGTAGCGACCATCTTGAATTGAATTTACTCCAAAAGTTAAGGAGTTGCAGATGGAACTTTATTGATTACTTCCTGAAAGTTTGATTAAAGTTCATCCAGTGATACATGAGATATTTTGCTAACAGACAAACTAAATTGACTTGAAATTTAAAGCAAGGTCCTACATAAGCTCAAGTACTTCCACACCAGTTCGTAGGTCATCATCAGTAAAAGTGATAAAGTTTTATTTGTGTTTTTTGTTTGTGTTTTTTTTTTATGATTCAACTCATCTATGGAACAAAAAATGGGTCTGGGTTTATTCTGAGAGCCAGAAATCCTCCTCACAGATTGGTTCTGCAGGTCGGCAGGCCCAAGGTGGTAAAAAGATGCAGACATGCATCTGTGAGGTCAAAGGTCAACAGAAAGACTGTACAAACATCCTGGAGAATAAGAGGGACGTGCAACGGTTCTGTAAATGGCCTTTGACCCTCAGCTCCAGGAAAGATTAGTCATCCTTTTTTTTTTTTATAGTGAGTCCTCCAGTCCTGAGAGTTCTGCGTGTCCTTTCGGGGGAAAAAGGAAGGGATGAAGGTGTGTGACACCATACATTCAGTCTGGTCACAAATTTTTAGTAACAGCACTATTTCCAGTAAAGTGAGAAAGCTCGGTAATTTCCGTGTTTTCTCATCTTTATCTCGTCCCAGTTTTAACTTCAAACCCTCGTGCAGAACAGGGACGTGTCAACATGTCAACTGCTCTGTTTGCTCGGCATTTAACCATTGATTCAGATTTTAAAAGGAGCTTATTTAAAAAGCATTTTTAGTGCTCAGAGTGTGTTGAGATGACTCTCAGCTCAAAATTTGTAATCATGTTTGTGTAAGGTAGAATCACTGCAGTAACCATCTTAAATCAGGTCGATTCTAAAGAAATTAGGTTATTTTGCTAACAGTATTTCCTTTTAAGAATGACTTTCTGTCTGACTTGAAAAAAGCAGAATTTCTTTTGACATATTTAAATCCTACAGAAAGAATAAAACTGATCACGTGGTCAAATTGGATTAAAATATTGCTGTTGAAAGCGCGTTTTTCTTTAAATGAAATGCGGTGAAATCGCCCTGATTTTTCTATTTAATAAGCCGGATAAACAAAAAGCTCCCCGGAGCCTCGGGGAGACACAGAATCCAATAAAGTTATTTGTCGCCTGGATTTTTCATAACAGAAGTGAGGCCGAACTGCCGAAGCCGCTTAGCTGTGCGAGCGTGGAGGAGCCGAGCCTTTTCTGCCTCTGATTGTTTCAAATAATGAACGTTTAAAACCTCCTGGGAGCCGTGAGACCGGTTAAAGCAGGAACAAAGCCCGTCCACAGAGCTCCCCGCTGGGCCCGCTGCGTGGAATCTGTGTCACACGTGGCGTGAAGCCGTGGCTGCCTTTTTTTTTTTTTTTTTTTTTTTGTAGCACGGCCTCGGGACAGAGATCACACTCCAGCGTGGAGCAATGGTTTATAAAAAATAAGCGGGCCGGGCGGTTTGAGTGTTTCGGGGGCCAGTAAACAGACTTCCTGCTGAGGAACCAGCAGAGCTCTGACGCCCGGGAGCTAATCGGCGTCTGCTAATGGATTCAATCTGCTCTGACTGACAAGCTCCTCTCTGAAGAGTCGTCTTCATTTCCGCTCAGCTGGAAGAAATATTCAACGTTTATAAAAGCTGGGAAAAAAAAGAGATGAATCAAACTCTCGTTAACCTGAGTTAATGTTGAGTTTAAACCCTGCAAGGCCTCGTGGGCAGAAGGGTTGAACCGAATGTACCACTCCTTTGGATACAGCTGCTTTTTTTGTTTATGTGGAGGTTTGCGTGTTTGTTCTTCCAGCCAAACAAAACGTGTCAGCTTCTTTGTGTAGAAGTCCGAAGTCCAAAGAACCTGACTTCAAAGAGAAGCTGACAGGTCTGTGCAGAATACAAAGCAACCAGCAGGTCTGACTCGGCTCAGGTGACAGCAGTGAGAGGGAGGAAAGCACTGAAAATACTGGATACACCCAGAACCAGCAGGTTCTGAAGACTCGGTTCAAAAAGGTGCCGTTTAGAATCAGATATTCATCATGAAACAGACATTGGGAAGTAGTTTTGTTTTCTTTTATAACAGTGTAGTAATAAAAAAAACTGCGTGCAGAGAGTTGTTGTGTTTTCTATCAGAGCTGAGGGCAGTCGGCTCCATCAGCGGCGCTCTGCTTCCCCCACCCTGCAGGACGGGAACCCTGCAGCTCCGAGCAACAGAACCAGCTGGGACAGCTAGTACACTTTTTATTTATAGTATGTAACAAACAGACAAGAAAAGACAGCTTTTTAATTGTTTATTTCATTGTTTATTAAAAGCTAAAACTATAAATCAATTTTGCCAAAAGCAAAAAACCAACAAGGGCTTTTGCACTTGACTTTGTGCAACTGTTAGCAAAATATCTCATGCGCCTGTGGACGGATTTTAATGAAACTCTCAGGAAGTAATAAATGGATGTACATCTGCAGCTGATTAATGTTTATGGTCGACCTAATTCAAGATGGCCGCTCCAGCTAATTGATCTTTACCAAGATATTGGACTAAAATCTGTTGTCTTAGAGATGGTTAGAATATGAGGTTTCTGTGTTGTTTGGGTTTATATTGTGAGACAGGAAAACAAATAGAAACAGGTTTTTGAATCAGCCTGCAGATCCAACTCCTCAGCACCTGCAGGACCTCTGACAGTTCATCTTCAGCTTTATGTTGAACAATGAACACAGACACGGTTTTATAGAACAGGGTTTTCTGCAGACATGCAGGGAAAAACAATGCTCTTTGTTTTGCAGATGTTTTCTCCAGGCAGGTGCAAGAAATCATTGCTGCTACTTTCATAACAAAACACTGAAATCTGAAAATTCACTTCCTTATCTTATTCTGTTCAACCATAAATAATAAACAATAACCTGTTATTCCATGAGTTTTAGATTATATGAGAAATGATGGAGATGTAATCAGAGTATGTGTTGTGGATGACTCTCAGCTACTACCACACCAACTTTTAGGTCAATGTCTGTAAAATTGACTGAGTTGCATTTTTTTCTGTGTTTGCTGAGGTTGATGTTCTGTGGCGGCCATCTTGAATTAGATTAACTCCAAAAGTTAATCAATTGTAGACACTAATCTGTGTTTATTTCCTGAGAGTTTCATACAAATCAGGGACTAATTAAAGCAAAACTATTACAGAGCTGTGTTACATAAAAAAACAGACATGGAATTTTATAATCAGTGTATTGATGTTTAAATATAAAAACAAACATTTATAAATGTTCAGTTAGTTTCACACGACAAAGCTTACATCCATCATCAAAAATCAAGCTATAACGTCAGCCGCTCAGAGGGTTTTATCACAGTCCTGCTGCCTGCTGGGGGTCATTCTGGTCACATCTATGTTGTTGTAGGCGAAGACGTTCAGGGCCCTCTCAATGGTGGAGTCCGGCAGGCTCCGGGTCCGGCCCAGGATCCAGGCAAAGTCCACGTGGAAGAGCCTGAGGACGTCTGTGCAGGAGTACACCAGGGCGAAGTTCACGTAGTCGGTGGACAGGATCCAGTACGGAGAGTACGGGAGGACTGGGTGAAGGAGACGTGAGTGGACATCAGATCTTTATTGTAGCACACGGAGGGCGAGAGAGGAAGAGAGAGAGAACTCACCATAGGAATAACTTATTCCCAGTTTAGCTGGATTCTTTGGATCCACTACGATTCCAGTCCCTTCGATTTTCCTCACCTCTCCTTTTCTGTCTCGGCCACACACACACACACACACACAGACACACACATCATGTGACATCACAGTGACTGCACACCAACCTTCACCTCCACGTCGGCACAAACAGCTCTCAGGTGACAACTCACAGGATTTCAGAGCTGACCACTCGAATGGAGGTGTCGGTCCTGAAGGTGAAGTTGGTTTCGATGCAGCGGCCCTTCTCAAACTGGGCCGGCAGTTTGGCGATTTCAAACCATCTCCCCATGAACTGAGACAAGACGATAAATAAACCCACAGAGCAGAACGAGTTCTGTGAAGCTGAGTGGCTCTCATTTATTAAACCCTGTTGATCACTGAAGCAGAGTCACTGTTTAAAGATCCATCAGTCATATTAATAAAGCATTAACAACAACTTAAAAAAAGGAGACTTTAATTAAGAAGTGATAATTAGAAAACTGATAATGCGACACAAGATTAAGTTTCACATTTAACTTGTATACAAAACTGAAACTAACAGACTAATCTTTCTAATAACCTGCTTTTTTCACTTTATTATATTTTTATCATTGTAGGTAATGTGTGTTATTTATTAAAACAGCACTTCATGCACACAAATAATCAATTTTTCCACATTAAATCATTGATCACATGCACATAAGGATTAATTTTACATTCTTTTAAGTAAATTAAGTGAACATCTGCCTGAAGATTCTCTTTTAAAAAAGGATCTGAATATTTTCTCTACACCAAAACTTTCCTGAAAGAGACAGTCTCGTTATTACCTGTTGAAGGCTGAACCCGGTTTGGACTTCTGGTTCTGAACACGGACCCCAGTGAGGAACCTGAGCCCTGAGGACTGGGAGGGCGAGCACAGAAACCAGACCCCAAAAAACCCTCATGGTACCGACAGGTCTCATCTGTGGAAAGACGTGCGTTCCTCTAACGTTACATCTTTAATTTCCTTCAACACAAACGTGACGTTTAAACAGAAAAACAGAGAGCCTCACCCTCGTCTCCTGCTGCTTCTCTCAGTCCAGCTTCAGGGTCCGACTGAGAGACGCTGCAGCTCACAGTCAATACGAGTCTTTGTCTTAAGTTTGATTTCAGACGCAAAGTTTCTTATTAGCAAATCGGAGTCACGGGTGAAATTCCTGCAGAAATGTTGTAAAACAAACCAGATTCAGGTGGGTGGGGATGTTGTTTACACTGTTTTTATTTAATCACTGACTAAACAGTATGGCAGAAAATAAAATTAAATAAAAAAATCCTAACTAAAATTGATCTGATGATCAAGCTATGATCTGGCAGACTTGGTGTTTGCCTTTCATTGAATGGAAAACTTAACCCCAAACCTACAGCTTAACTTACATTCAGAGTAATTATTGAGAGAATTATCAGAACACAGGGAATGTTTTTCAACCAAAAAACCTTCAGCTTCATGCGAAATCAGTCAAACTGCTGCCCGCTTCGAGACAAAGCGCCTCCCGGCTACAAACAAGTCCAACTTGAAGACGAGAAGAGATCAAAAGGCTCAATTTTCAGCTCAAACACTCGACGGAGGAACGACTTGTTAGCTGCAGACGGATCAAAGTCCGGTTAAAGCAAAGCGCTTTCTCTGAGGGTGGAGGCGACGAGCTCATCTGGTCAGAAAATCAAGGAAGAAGAAAAAAGAAATCCAACAGAGCTGCAGAATAAAGAGAAAGAATCAAAAGAGAGAAGGTGACGCAGAATTGTTCAAATAAGCTGAAGTTTTTAAGGGCTTCTTGGTTTCAGCTTCTTTTAATAACAGAACTGCTTTGAAACAAAAAGCCTATTTTACTTCTACTTTTTGAACTCATGTTGTTTACTCAAGTAAAAGTATCATCAGTGACATTTTTCAAAAGCAAAGAAGTCAATACTAAAAAAACTGTTTTGTAAAATACTGACTGTGATCTGTTATAATGTGTTTAATGGAGGGAATTTATGGCAAATGATAAACAGTGATTGTCAGTTGATGTTTTAACAAGCTGCTTTTCCCTACTAACGATGTCTAAATGGTTCACTAAGTGATGTCAACTGTCCACTGTTCTAGCCAGCTATACAAATGTAACAGAATGATTAACAATGGATAGATATATAAAGTTTCATTTTATCAATAAATTACATTATTTCATATATTTTACATTTAACCTGTTATGCTCTCATGTGATCCTCAAGACAGAACAACTTCATTCAAGGATTCAAGGAGACTTTACTGTCATTCGCATCACATGTGGTACATGGGGTGGAACGAAATTTGTTCTCTCACAGTCCAGTTACACGCATTAGCAATTTACAAAATACGGACACAACGGATACAAATAGAATAAAATTGGAATGGAGTAAAGTAAAAATAGGTAGATAAAATATATATATATACAAAATATAGGAGATATAGGGGAAAAGGACGTTGGGAGTAGCAGCAGATTATTGCATATGTAATTGTCCTTGTGAAGTGTCAGTGCAGGGTGGAGTTGGGAAATAATACGTTCACACTGCAGGCCTAATATCACTTTTTTTTTTCCAGTGGTGTATCACATTATCATCAAAACGTGACTTAAGTATGAACCGTAGCAGCTCAGAGACGAAAAAAATAAAGTTCAGAGGCGACCCGGTTAAATTTAAAAAGCAATAATCCGGATCACCCAACACTAGACATTTTAAGTGCATGCTGGGAAAAGGGAAAAAGACAGACAAGTAGTTTTGGGTGGGTGATTCAAGAGGAAACCGAGAAATATCAAATACATAATCTAACAATAAGTCCAATGTTACCGCTGTCAGTAATACCACCCTGGATTCTACCAGAAGCTACAGCTGATTTGACATTAATGGAAAAGAAAAGAGATACATCAAACATTTTCAACTCACATACAGTGCAGGATTATATTATCAGTACATTCAAATATATACAGATGCTTCAAAAGTAACAGAGAAAAAAGGAGTTGCATTTATAATACCAGAATTTCTAATAAAAGTAGGTAAAAGAATCACTGACAATCTATCAGTTTATACAGGAGAAATGATTGCAGTATTATTAGCCATACAGTGAGTAGAAGAAGAAGAAGAAGAAGAAGAAGAACAAGAACAAGAACAACAAGAAGAACAAGAACAAGAAGAAGAAAAACCTATAAAATACATAATCTGTTCAGACTCAAATTCAGTTTTAATGAGTATAAAAAAAATCACTCAGACAGCAGGCCATCATTTTACTAGAAATTAATCATACATTATTCAGAATACAAAGGATGGGATTAAATGTTGTTTTTCTTTGGGTACCAGCACATACTGTATAGTGGTAAAAGGAAATGAAAAAGCAGATAAAATGGCAAAGAAAGCAGTTCAAAGTGACATAAACATTATAATTAAGACAAGTAAATCTGAAGCAAGAAGCATAATTAAAGAAAGACTGAAGAAAGAGTGGCAGAAGAGATGGGAGAGAGATAACAAAGGGAGGTGGTTTTATAAGATCCAAAGGGTGGTAGGAGAAACGAGATCTGGAAAAAGGAGCTGAAAAGAAGAAAGAGTGATAATAAGGTTGAGATTTGGACATACAGGACTTAATTATACACTTTTTGCAATACAAAAACATAATACAGGAAATGTGGTTACTGTGGACAAAATGAAACCATAGAACATGTTATGAAAGTATGTCAGAAGTACAAACAAGAGAGACAATTTATGATAAGACAGTTCAGAAACATTAAGAAAAGAATTGACAGATACATTACAAAGGAATTTAGGGAGCAAACATAAAAAACATGATACAATGTTTGAAAAAGACAAAATTGTTTAACAGAATTTGAGTTTGATAGTAATATTTTTAGTATTAATTATTTGTTTGTTTATTTTTTATTTAATTTTTTCTTTTCTTTAAATAGATAGCTTTGAAAATGTGAAAAGAAATACAATAATAGTAGTAGAGTAGGATATAAGTAGTGAAACCATCTTCAACCACACTGAATACCAGTAGGTGGCGGTAATGCACACCTTCAGTTCATTGACAACCGCCATTAAACACAACAACAAGAAGAAGAAGAGGCGACCCGGTTACTTGACCCGGTGAGCAAAGGGAGTCGTCCCTGTTTTGAGGAAGTAGCCACACATGCTATTTGTTAGCTTGTGTGATTCGGCAGTTCTTGTGCAATCCCAAGCGATTCAATTATCTGACCTGTTTGTTAGGTCCAGCGTTCACATTTAATCTTGCCTCTTGATGGATTCTCCGGCGCAGCGTTTTATTTTTGGAGCGGAGCTTCGAGCGGAAGGTAGGGCCTTTGTGACCATTTCACCTGCTGTTTTCTGTTTTTGCTCATAACTTCCTCAGTGGTCAAGATATCGCCATGAAATTTTAGGAAAAGATTCCCATTCTGGTTTTGTAGGAAGCATCTTGTATCCTAAAAAACTAATAAAACTTAACAATATGTGAGAAATACAGACATTGTTCAAATGAGATTATTAGTTGTGTTACTGTTTTTGTGTATTTGAC